TCCTAGCTGTATTTATACTCCAATGAAAATATTTTGAGTCAAAAATTATGACAACATACCGTACATGGTGAAAAAAAACTTTTATGCACTTGGGATTTTCTATATTCACCATTGCCCGAACCACAATTTTTTATTATGCAAGTTGTAGGCATTTGCACTGTTTTCTTTTATTTCTTTTTGTCACAACACTTTTCACTTGAATCACAAACCACCTGTAGTACACAATAAGCATAATACCGCCAAAACTGTTTCTGTAATTTACATTTTCTCCGCAAAAGCGCTGCCTCTGAACGTTGTCAGAACTAGCACAACTCTATTCCCCCAAATGTAGGCTGACTTTTGCCTCTACTACCATTGCCGTGAGGTCTCCTTATACTACTTCATGGTTCTCTCTTTCCTTTACAAAGGATCTCATTTTCAATGTTATTCACGAATCTCGCACTGAAAAAAAATTCTGGTTAGGCTATATTTAACATTACTTTCTAATTATGTTAACCAGAATTCTAGTTGAATTAACTAGAATTCTCGTTAAAATAACCAGAATTCTGGTTAACCTAACCAGAATCAAAATGTTAAACATACCCTAACCAGAATTCTGGTTATTCTAACTAGAATTCTGGTTATTCTAACTAGAATTTTTTTTCAGTGCGTAATTTAATTTTTCACAGTGTATATGGTTTTATTTTAGAGTTATGTAATAAACTTAATTTAATGTGAATTGTTGTGTGTTTCTTTTTTCTTAACAATTATTATTGAACGATTTACCCTTGTCTCTTCCCTCTTACAAAAATTGTGTAAATTACAGTCAACTGTACAAACAGCAACACAATAACCACAACAGCATTAACGTTTTAGCAGTCCAGTTACGAAAATCATTCGGGTACAGGACTCGGCTAAGTTCGACTAATTCTGTAAGAATTAGTATGTTCAGTTAAGAATTTTTGTTCCAAATTAAATTGCGAAAATTTTAAGTATGTGACATAATTATTATCATTTCAATAGAGAATATCAATATCTCATATAATAGAGAGCCTTATTCACTATTATTAATATCTATAAGTGAAACAAAGGGTACTTCTTTTACGTAAGTTCACTACTAATAATTGACATTTCATATTTTTCTTAAAACAATAAGACTATTTCTAACAACGATATTAAATCTTGACACATGAGGTTGTTAAAAATAAAGTCCATTTATCATATTTTCCTTTTCAACTTCAAATTATTATCATGTTATGAAAAAAATCCCTAGATTCTTAAAGTCTTTTAGAAAATAGATAATCGAATATACTTAATATTAGTCGAAAAAGTTTCTCCGTGTTCAATCCAATATTTACCTTTCTGAAAAAGTTGTATTTCATTTGAAAATAAAAAAAATGATTACATTCTTATCAAATTATGAGGTATTATAATTGTTAAAAAAATGATTGATTTAATATTTTTAACTACGAATCCCCAAGTTACAAGAGTTAGACGAAAATAATTAAAATTGCAGTACGTTTTTGGAAATTTAATATTTTAATGGTTATATTTTATGTACAATTTGAATTATTCAATAATAAACTAAATTTATTATTAATTTGAGTATAAAAATTTAGTGTCGCTAGCAAGGCATGTCAGTTAAAAATAGCTAAAAATAATAAATTCATTTTAAGATTATTTTTGAAATAACTGAAAATTATTTCATTTTTTGTTATTGTTTTAGTAACGCCACCCTGAAAACAAAAATTTTTTACGGTTTTAATCTTTACAGTCACAAATTTATCTTTTCACTGAATTCACTTAAAACTCGTTACTCGGGGGTTTTTGGGTCGCTGAATAAAAATTTGATGTCAGTTTTTAAAAATTCAAAATGGCGGATCCAATATGGGGGATATGAAAATTGAATATCTATTTCACATATTAATGCAAACAGATATATTAATTTTTTTTAACATTTTATAAATGCATAGGTATGTAAAAAAGTTAATTGATTCCATGAATCACTATTAGCATAAGTACACATGCACAGGATAAATGTCGCTAGTCGCACTGAGAAAAATGTTTATTCAGAGCAACGAAAATTTGGTTGGGCCAACAAAAAAATTTTGTTGGTATTTAAGCAAGCAAACTATTTGTTTGAGTCAACCAAAAAATTTGGTTGAGTGTTTTTTGTTGGCATAACAAAAATGTTTGGTTGATCAAACAAAGTTTTTTTTGTAAAATTAAAAATTTTATTCTACCTTGTTTCTTTTCTTTTTATCTTTTTTATTTATTTCATTATTTATTTATTATCAATTTAACATTGAATTTATATTTATCCAATTGAAATTTTTGTGGACTTTAAAAACTCTCATCTCCGCCTAGGATCGAACCTCTGTTTTAACACTGAAAGTTGGGAGTTCTGACAACTGGACTACCCATCCTTGTGAGAAATTTAAACTAACTGTTCTCTTAAACTATAAGCTGAGAGCGAATCAAATTATTTGGTTGTCGCAACCAAATTTTGGTTAGGACAACAAACAATCATTTGGTTTTTCAGACCAAACTATTTTGTTGTGTTAACCAAATTATTTTGTTGTAACCAAATTTTGGTTGGAATTTAAAAATGTTCAACTAAATAATTTTGTTGGCCTAACCAAATGTTTGGTTGAGATAACTCTACGACTTTGTTTCAGCAACCAAAATTTGGTTACAAGAACCAAAATTGCCTAACCAAACAATTTTGTTGCAAACACTAAATTTTTTTTCTCAGTGCGCAAACATTTTTTATAACATTACAAGCAAAAACCGCCACATTGGATCCGTCATTTTGAATTTATGAAAACTAAGTTAATGAGTTAACACTAGAATTGTTTTTAAATAAACGCGTTATAATAGTGTAATAATTTATTTTGAAGAAATATCACTAATATAAATAAATTACTATAAACTAAGAAAAATAAAAATGTTTAAATGATATAAAAATGAGTTAAGACTTTTTCTATGTAACAATAGGGCATCACATCATTCAAAAAATATTTCATTATTTTCCTTATGATTCTATACAAAAAAGTATATATATATATATATATATAGCTTTACGAGTCAATTGTTTTGCATACGAATAATACAAGACGGATATAATGCAAGCCATATTATTATACGATACATATACAACGAATTACAAAAAATTCACAGCATCCTTTTTCTTTTCTCCGTCTCCTTCACTTCTTTAAATTGAGGCCAGTGATTCAACGAACCGCGCCTTTAGCAAGAATCACAAATGTTTCTGTAAAAAATTTCCTATGCACTTTTTTTTTATTTTGTACGTTAAAATATGTTTCTAAAATTACAGGCAGTTCATAAGTGTATATATGGCTTTTACACTTGGCCATATTTTTATATCTCATATGCTTTTTAGTTCCGTTCGCAACATTATTTTGAATAATTTTGACGTTCTACATTTTCAAAAATTGACTTAATTATCAATAAATTTGTTTCTAAAATTGTTCGCTAATAGTTCCCATAATTTTTTTTAATAAACACGCAATACTGTCGTATTGACTATAATACTAAAAAAAGGGACCTTAAAGGCAAAAAATTTTAGGTTATGTTTAGTAATAGTTTTTGCTTGATTAAACGTTCATTTTTAATTATGTAAAATCAAAATTAGATTCCATTGAATATTTTGGATCTAATGAATGACATAAACATCTTTTTGTATTTTTAACAGAAAAATGACAAACATAATCTGAAATTTTTTGCCTCTAAGGTCCCTTTCCTCGCGAAGCATCGCATGTGTAGGGGAGAGTAGGAAACAATAGAGCAGTGTTTACTGTGGACCATTTTAATTTTTTGGAAAAATAATTTAGAAAACTATTGTACCAAATTTTAAATATATAAATAATGACATTTACGTATACTTACTACGTCAAAAATGTATGTCACATTGATATATTACTTTTAAGAAAAATTCAAAAAAAAAAATTATTTTTAACGTAGCGAAGAAACAATTCGCTTGAAATACAATGATGATTTATAAACAGATAGAACCTATAACATTAAAAATTCAACCCTCACTACTTGCTACAAATTTGTTTTAAACGACCGCCAACCGGGACTATTATGGTACAAAAATCGTAATTTTTTTGTTATACACTGAGAGACCTTTTGCACCGTAACAGACTTTCGACAGACGGCTGCGGAGCATTCTAGCGGTCAGCTATAAAACTACGTTTTTGGTCTGCAGCCGTACAATTTTTGGAGCGTAGCTGTCCAAAAAATTGACGGCCGAAAGGTTCATTTTCATTTTTGGGCAGTCACGATACAAAATTTAGAATGCAGCGCACCAAAACCTATAGTGGCGCTGCAGTCACACACGTAGTTCTGATGCGGTGCAAAAGGTCTCTCAGTGTAGGAATTTTATTATAATTATTGAATTTTTTTTAGATTATGAATTATAATGAATTATGAATTACAGCTAGGTGTCAAATTTTAATATTTCGAAATGAATATTTTACAAAATAAAAATTAGCTTATACCATAATAGACCCTTATGTACCGAAATAGCCCCGGTTGACGGGAGTTATAATATTTTAGGGATTTGATACATTCATGTAGGACTACAATTTAGCAAAGTATAAAATAAATCCTAGAACTTTTAATTACTGACTGATGGGACATTTGTTAAAACAAATAAATTTAATCGCATAGAGTATAACGAGGTGAAAGAGCAACTTTTTTTTCTTTTTAATATGTAAAATCGATATTAAAGTTTTTTTCGAAATTTCAATTAGTTCTGAAAGTTTAGTTCTTCAACTTCAAAATCCTGGTCGGATAATCTTCGTATCCTATGAAAGGACAAAGTTATGTAACTTTTACTAGAGCAATGCAAGTGGCTTTTTTACACACCACTGCTATCATTTTTTGTTTTTTCTTCATTTATATATCTCATCCAAACTAAAAATTTAATTTGAAACTGAATACAATACAAATTACAAAGTTGATTATATAAAAATTTGAAATTTTTTTGCCAACAGGAAAGAGTTCAAGCCAAGGATCCACCATCACATTATTTGACAAAACTCCGAACGTATTTAGATCCGAAAGCATCTAGAAGCCATCGAGTAAGTACATGTTTATTTTGATTATATTTATTGATTTTAATTTTTCAAGTCGACTCTTGTAATTGAGAAAACAACAAAATTATTAGTAATGAATAAAACAATTTTAGCATTAACAGCATGTGACTATTAGGTTAATGTTTTTTTATGTTTAATGCTGCAATGTTAATTTTTCGACCGTATTTCTTGTATAAAATATTGAATAGTCTGAGCTGAAATTTTGTGGAGAAATCTAAACAAAATATGATGAAGAAGGACTAAATTGAACATTGTGGTGATCACGTGACCTAATAATCACATGCTGTTAATGTAGAGAGGAAATATTTTCGTTTTTTTTTCAAGTATTTCTTTCTGTGAGAGAAATGGTTACTAATCATTACACAGTCGTATCGTTTCCTTACATTCTTTCAGAAGAGAAAAATTGTTGGCGAATCAACATCAACGCAAGTTCTTCGAGATTTAGAAATATCATTGCGCACAAATCACATAGAGTAAGACAATTCATTGAATATTTATTTTACGGGAATGTCTAATTTATAATTTCTAAAAAAAAATTAATTTTATAGATGGGTACGGGAATTTTTAGACGAAGAAAATCAAGGTCTTGACGCATTGATAGATTACCTTAGCTTTAGGTTACTCATGATGCGACATGAACAACGACTTCTTGAAGAGAGACATGAATCTGAAGAAAGATTGCAATCATGTAAGTATTTTAAGGGGTTACACCACTTTGACCCGACAAAAAAATACGCTTTTTCAACAATTTTTATTGAAGAATAGAAAATTAAAATACAGTAGAGTATTATACTACTCTTGAACTGCAAAAAAAATGTTGGTATTTCGGGTAGCAAAGAGAAAAACTAATTTAATTATTTAACACATTTATTTAATTGAATTAACATAAAACATAATAAAAGATATAATTAAATCTGACCATCACATTTTCGTGGATTACTTTTTCTTGAGACGTTCATTTTTTTCTACATGTATTGCGCATACCGCGCACGCAATGTAAATCACGTGATCAATATTAAAAGAATAAAAACATGGCGCGAAACATTCAAATATAAATTTACTCACATTTCAACAAAAAATAATATATTTTTTTTTTCAAAAATGTCGGTCTGACAGATAATATGGCGAAGTGCTTCAAAAATATATCGCCGTGCGGTGGGCGCTATAACTCAGTCCAGATTTGAGCTAGATAAAAAAAAGTATTAGTTTTTGCAGCTCAGAATCTAGCGAAATACGTATCCGTCTAAAAAAAATGCATTTTTCGCAAAATGGCATCGATTTTAAGGAAAAAGTGCTTATTTTTGCCTAAATTTCGTTACTTAAAGTTGTCTAGAAAATTTAAATATTAATATTTCGAAAAATCCGTACGTATTTCGCTAGATAATTATATCACAAACAAAATAAAAAAAACTAAAAGGATCGATTGACATTTGTAGCAGCTAGAGTGCCCACCGATTTTTCAAATGTAGTTTTGAGAAAAACGCGTTTAAAGTTTTCTTAACAGTTTGGTCCTGATTAACAATGATTAAATTAAAAATTACCTCTAATCAGCTACGCCGGGTCCATATAGCATATCATTTGTAAGAAGTTAGAAACGCCATTTTGTTATTTCAAAAAAGTAATTTTGTGTCAATTTGTGCTGCAAAAAATTTTGTTAAAAAATAATAATTAAGACTCAAATTTCAGAAAAAAAAACATTTTGAAGCTCAAACATGCCACTTCTATTTAACTAAAAACAAACAATTGGGCAAGACCAGAACAAAAAGAAATTCTTACAACATTTTTTCCAATCTTTAACTCCTTGGGTGTCGATGACGTGTATACACGCACATAAATTTTGAGCCCAATAATAAGACGGAATTGGTCTAAAATTTGTTACTCGGGGGTTTTTGGGGTCGCTGCTTCCGAATTTGATGTCAGATTTACAAAATTCAAAATGGCGGATCCAATATGGCGACCAAAAATTTTGGAAATTGACCATATTCGCTTGAAATTCGTTACTCAGGGGTTTTTGGGGTCGCTGATTCCGAATTTGATGTCAGAATTACAAAATTTCAAAATTCAAAATGGATACAATAATAATCACACCCATACTATGCTATTTTGAATTTTCAAAATCTGACTTGAATGTCGTAAACAGTGACGTTCAAAACCCCTGAGTAACAGATTTTAAGTAATTTTAATTAATTTTTAAATTTTTAGAAAATTATCTGCCACATTGGCTCCGCCATTTTGAATTTTTAAAATCTGACTTTGGAATCGTAATCAGCGACCTTAAACACCATAGTATACACATTTGCACAAATTTTGGTCATTCAAAAATTTACTGACATTTTGGGCCCACTTATGAGATTTTGGCCTCGACTGCGAAGGGGTTAATAATATATTACATTCAAAATAATTCAGATTTAAAATCAAAAAATGATTTTTAAGCCATAAATATTCAAAAATTATATTGTGTTTCAAAAACAAATTTTTTGTTGAATTCTGTTAGTCCAGCACAAAAAGAAGCAGTTGAAATATATATAAAAAAATAAAATTTTTCAAAATAATTCAATTTTTAAATTCAAAAAAACATTTTTTTTCTCAGAAATATTGAAAAATTATTAGTTTTTCAAAAATGCAAATTTTGTGCTGTATTCTGCAGATCCAGCACACAAAGATAATTCAGCACAAAATTTGTTTTTAAGCCTTCGTCTGTAAACGTGGGTCATTTGTGTCGCAGTTGAAACTGTTTAGTTAAATATCTTTTTAAGAAGCAATTAGAACCTGTTGCTGTCTTCACCTAAAAAAAGTAACGTAGGAAAGAGTACTAACGCCCAAAGGTGACGATCCTAGTCCTTTATTGGCAGCTACAATAAACTTAAATATTTTCGCTGGGACAGATTTGACCCACGTTTACAGACGGCATGCACTTGAATCGCAGTTATGCAAAATTTTTTTTCAGTCAGTTTTATAAACATGTATAAGCGGCTAAAGCGTTAAGATAATATAATAAGATAAAATAATAATAATAATTTAATAACTTTTTAAAAATAAATTGTGCTTTTACCATTGCATAATACATGATTTATGGACTGTTTTACCTATTCAAACTTAAGCATTTATTATTAAATAAATAAAATCAAATTTTTTTTTCTTAAGGCTTTTTTAGGATGTATTTCTAAAAAAACCATGACATTTATTCAGACATTTTTGTTTACATTAACTGATTTTAATGATTTTCTCCATTTGTTTATAAAAAATAAGTGCAACAATAAATTTTTTTTAGCATTTTTATGATTAATATAAGAAGTTTAGGGTTGTAAAAAGTACCATCATTTTCTTGGAATTTTTTTTAGTACATTAACAAATTAAAAACACAGTGGGACATTAATAACCCACGTTTACAGACGGAAGGTGCCGAAAAAACGTTTACAGATAAATGCTTCTTTGAAGTTAAAAATTGAATTATTTCACAAAATTTATGTTTGACAATTGCTGGATAAATTTTTTTTTTAATTTTAAAAATGATTTATGTATTCTTTTTTTTAAAAAATCAAATTGTTGAATGAATGATTTTTTTCAGTTTGATGTTTATTTACAACAGTTTGATTTTTTGTGAGAGATTTAATTTCTAAATTCAAAATTATACATTCCTGATTTTCAATAGCAGTAATAGCATCTTGTTTAGAATTTTGTTAGGAAGAAATATAACTCTGACCAAAGAAACAATATAATCAATTTCTTGAGAAATTTCAGTATTACTGAGTTTAATTAAACAATTAGTATTATTTTTAATGTTCATGTCCCGACGAATATATTTCTGCAAAATATGAGACAAATTTAATAAAATCCTAATTGACTTCTGGAGAAGTCTTTGGCATGATGTTATATTCACAAACCTTTAAATTTATACACTTATTTGTGATGCGCTCTGAAAAAAGGGACCTAAGAAGCAAACGAGTTATAGGTTATGTTTACAATAGTTTTAATTTTATTAAAAGTATATTTATAAAGTAGTTGATATTTTTATTTAAAAAAAATTAAAATTACACAGAAAAAACCTGGTCTCAAATTGAGTACGAAATTCATACTCAATTTGAGACGCATCAAAAATGAAACTGGTTGTCTCATTTCGAGTTGTAATGCTAAAAGTATCGAAATGAGACAGGGCAGTTTCATTTCAAGTAAAAGATAAAAGTTTAAAAATATTATCAAATAACAAGTAATTATATAAAAACCATAAAAAATATAATACATTTCTGATAAAAATAACAAACTAAACATTTTGTTGTTTAATTTTAAAGGTAATTGCTTGTAATCATGTAATATTTTAAGTAAGAGAAATATATTTTTAGGTTATGAACATGAAAACATGTGTTTTAACAGCAAAAACGGTACTGCCAACCAAATGGCGCGAAATTTGAAAACTGGTAAAATTAATTATTATTTAAATAAATAATGATTAATATTTTGTACTTGAAAAATATTAAATATTCGCACTGTCGTTAAGAATCTATTTAAAATTATTCAAATATTAGCAAAAATTATTTAAATTGTAAATCAGTTTAAAAATTATACCAACCTAAAAATCTGAAATTAAGGCACTCTCAAGTTGAATAACTTGAAGTTTGTCATCTCAAAATGAGTAGCAACAAAAATGAATCCAGATTTTTTCTGTTTATGGATTGTTTAAAAAATCTTATTTTAAAACTTTAAATAATTATTTTTTAGTAATGAAAAAAGCGATTGGCATATATAAAGTTTATATTTTACAAAGGATTCGTTAATCAAGTTGGAAAAATTATGTTCATTTCATAAAGTTTCTGCTTCCTCACAAAGAAATTTTTTTCAAAAGAACTTTATAAAATAACTGCAACTTTCAATATATTTGAGAAATTATTCATAAAATGAATGTAAGTTTGCATAAAGATGAAAGGTACATATCTAAGAAGAAATAAGGGAAATTTGGTTAACTGAACTAAAGATTTTTTATATATTTGATTGGATTTTAGCCAATGTCATTGAAATATATTTTTGAATTCAAAATTTTCAAGGTTTATTGAAATTGCTTTAGAATAAGCTTATAATAAAGAATTCAATGATATTGTTTCCAAGATTTCTTCATGAGGAAGCAAATGTTCATGAAATGAACATAATTTTCAATTTGTTTAATACTTATTTAATGAAAAATCGCAGTTTTAATATATGAAGTTTATTGTTAAAAATAATTTAATATATTAAATAAACGTTAAAAAAATGTACGTACCACATCTAAGTGTGTATATAATATTTCAGCCGGAACAGGCGAATCTTCACCATTAAATAATGGATGTCTCAGACCACCTCTACATGACTTGAAAGATAGTCCAGGGGTAAAACGACGATCGAGGCACGTAGCTCGATTGAATATGGGAGAGGCAAAGGACGATATTCATGTTTGCATACTCTGTATGCGTGCCATCATGAATAATAAAGTAAGGATAAATTTGAACATTTTTCGAATATCTATTAATGATTTAACATATATATATATATTTCTTTCACGAAATATTTTTAATGACACACTTAATTAAGAGTTTCAGACAAAATTCTCATTTTTTATGATTTTACTTTTAGTACGGATTCAATATGGTGATACAACATCGAGAGGCTATTAACTGCATAGCTCTAAGTCTTATGCATAAAAGTTTAAGGTACTAATAAAAAATTTAATTTTTAGACTTTTAAAGGAGATTCTCTTACTCAATTTAAATTACATAAGACTTTATGTGTATATTTGAAATTTCTAATAATTATTTTTCTCGTTATTTATTAATATCAGAGAAAGGTCACTTCATTGAAAACCAACATTTTAAAACGTGAAAAAATTTTAAAAATGCTTCAGAAGTAGATTTTAATTTTTTTAAATTTTATTTCTGTTTTAAAAAATAATAGTTTTAAACACTTTATAAGTAAGCGGAAAATAATACACTGAGAAAGAAATGCATTAATTTTTCTTACAATTGATTCAGTCATTGTAATGAAATACTTATTTTTAATTTTATAGAATTTTTTTCAAGTTCATCACTTTTTACGAATACATAAATAGAAAAATGTGTTAATTTCTTTAAAGGTAACCAAGTTGAACAAATAATTTTTTCGAATCTAACTATTTCTAAAGTATTTTTTATTGTTTTTAAAACCATTTTTTTCTTTTACTTATGCCTAATTAGTTGGGGAGCCAGTGACCAATTTTACTTTCTCATTTTAAATCAGCTGAAAATTAGAATAATATTTACTAACAATTCTTCTTCTTACTAATAACTACAATTCTTTGTAAGAATATGCAAAAACAGAAATGTTTTGACTATTTTGCATCTCTTCACTTATTGAGTACCTACTTAAAAAATATTTCCACCTTGGATAAGTGGAGAATTGAGGACACTTATTTAGTAAAAAGTCACATTTTTTCAAAAGAATTTTGAAAAGAAGATTGAAAAAACGTAAATTTTGATTTAAAAAAAAAACATTGGAAAAGTACTGGACGACGGTAAATTGTCCAAAGAATTAAACAACTTTAGTATGATTTAGTCTGTATTTACCTGATGATTGAATTTTATATTAGAATAAAATGAAAGAATGTTGCTGTTACTGGTCCTGGAATCCTAAAAAAAGGTCCTGGAAATTACTGGAATTTTTGTCCTTGAAATTTCCATTTCCCGGGAAAATTAATGAAAACACTAAGAATCAGATTTTACTGAAATATCTCATTAAAATTCGTAATAGGCGAATTTGAAATCCGACATTTTGAATTTTGAAAAACTAACATCGGATTTGTACTCAGCGATCCCACAAACCCCTGAGTAATGATTTTCAGAATGATTTAATTGCTTTTTCGATTTTTGGCCACGTTTTTGGCATTTGTAACCACTGCGCGTGTCCCTATTATGGAACGTTTTTTCGATTCCTTGAAAATTTAGTTTATTTTTATGGCAGCCAATCATTTTACTAAAATATCGCCAATCACTAATTAATTTGTGTATCTCATGTATTTGATTCGAACGTGTTAAAATAAGTGGAATTGGTCAATGGCTCTAGGAGAACTACTCAAAGTTTGACTGATTTAATTAATTGTCTATGATCAGTTATTATGGAATTAAGAAATTAGTTTACTTTTTCTTGTGTTTTAGAACAAAAGCCTTAGTATTGGAACTACTGGCAGCGATCTGTTTAGTAAAAGGAGGACACGAAATTATTTTATTCGCTTTTGATAATTTCAAGGAAGTGTGTTCGGAAAGGCGAAGATTTACGACATTAATGGCGTATTTTACTCAATATGACAGTTTCCATATTGAATTTATGGTTGCATGTATGCAATTTATAAACATTGTTGTACATTCTGTAGATGATATGAATTTCAGGGTGCACTTGCAATACGAGTTTACAAAACTCGGACTTGATGAATACCTTGATAAACTAAGGCATACAGAGAGCGAAGATTTGCAGGTAAATATATTTTGTATTTATAAATTTCAAAAATCTAATTTCAAAACCCATCAAATAATGCATGTTTTATTATTTTTGCCAAAAAATATCATTGAATTTTAATTAAACATGTTAAACAGGATAAACATAGATCTGAATTTAAATTCACCGAACAATAAGATAGATAATCTATATAATAAAAATCAACAATCTTTACTTAAAAATGTCGATGTTACAAGTTTAATCAAGTTGGTCTTTGGCACACGTCTTTATTAAAACAATAAATAATTCAGGTTCGTTAACTACAAGTGACCAAGTTACAGCATATTTAGTGAATTTGTTTAGATTTTCATTCGAAAGGTACAAACGCGAAATCGTAGATTTGTGATTTATCGCTTACCATGACTATTTGCTTCCCCAATATTTTTATACAGAATCCATTCGAAAATAGTATTTAGCACAATAGTAAATTCTCCTAGTTGTAATTTCAGTAATTTTTGTTTCCCTCTTTTAAAAATATTTTCTATCACTTCATTTGGACATTTTTCAATAATATCTTTTCCAGATTCGTATCTTTTTCATTCAGTTTTAATCTAAATGAAACTGATACGTTACTAAAAAAATCTTAATAGAACCTGTTAGATTTATTATTATGATTATTATTTATCCGATAGATAAACTTATCCGTAGTTTTTAACTGGAGGTGAATCAACTGGCCATTAATCTCCGTTGGTCCCAAAAATCGGCCTTATTGATCCTCCTCCTTTATAATGCTTAGAATCATGTTTACAAAAAATAAAAATAACACGCGCGTTTGTTATGGTTAGTTTTTATTAAAACTGAATGATTAAGTAGAATTTGAGTGTTAAGTTGACGAATAAAAAATTATTTTAATTCAGATTAATATTTTTATATACAGGTTCAAATTTCGGCTTATCTAGATAATGTGTTTGATGTAGCTGCTCTAATGGAGGACAGTGAAACGAAGACTGCAGCTTTAGAAAAAGTAGCTGAATTGGAAGATGAACTTGGTCACGTGAGTTTTGCACTTTTGGTTTTGAAGATAAAATATTATTACAACCCTTTAAAAAAACTTTCAGCAATACACAATTTATGAGAAATAAAAATTTATTAATCCTCCTTAAAAAATGTGTGGACAAGTCACAGATGAAACTTAATTTTTCTGAATTGAAGAAAAAGGAATGAGTTTAGCAATATTTATTACTAGAGCTTTATTTATTTTTACCACAGACATTGGAATTGATATTGATATATACGACTTTAAAAAAAATTCGTTATAAGATGAAGGGAACGCGTTTTTGTTAAAAACGAAGATGATGAGAATTAAATTTTTATCCTATTAATTATTAATTAAGATTCGATAAATCGCGATTTCTAATATGTACTTTATTATACGTAGGCACACGATAGGATGACCGAATTAGAAAGGGAGTCTCTAACGAAATTAGCAGAATTAGAAACCGAATTAGGCGCTACAAAGGTTGAATATGCTGATGCATTGGAAGCACGTAGATTAGTTGAGGACGAGCTCACTGCTTTGAAACGTCAAAAACAAGACTCTGCTCGTAGACAAAGTGTTTTAGAAAATAAAATTATGGAACTAGAATCACTAACAGGAACTCTCACTAAAGGAACTTCTGGTGAAAGTAAGTGGATTAGATTCAACATTTAGAATAATTTTAATGACCATTATTCATTCATATGGAAAATGTTATTTTAATTTTGTTCATTGTAGTTACTTGTCTTCGAAATGGAAGTCCAACTAATTCTCCAACAACCGAAAATGAATTAACATTGACAATAACATCAAAGACTTCTCCAGTGCAAAGTCCAACTCCAGCTCCACCTCCTCCACCACCACCGCCTCCTTGTCCACCTCCACCTCCTGCTACACCTTTCTTGAAAGACAACAGAGGACCGCCACCAGTTCCAATTCCACCGCCACCTGCAGGAATGATGCAAGCACCCGATGGAGCTATGACTATAAAGCGAAAGGTAAGAAAAACTTTTTCTTTTCTTTTCTTTTCATTTTAGGACATTTAAGCGATTTGTAAAATATTTCTTTGACTCTTCAATACTTTTCAATAATAATGAGTACGAGCCAAAGAAATTTGATCAAAGAAAAACAACTGAAACTACAAATTTTATTAAAATAAAAGGAAAAATTACATTTGTAATGTACATTTATACTCTTTAAAGAGCAATATTTCAGCAGAAATACGTCCTTTAATTACAATAAAGTTAATATTATATTAATTTTTTTTCAAAATTTTATCTAATTTGACATTTTTTTTGTTAGGTACAAACGAAATATAAACTTCCAACATTAAATTGGGTTGCACTTAAGCCTAATCAAGTCCGAGGCACAATTTTCAACGAATTAGATGACGAACGACTTCATAATTTTATTGATTTCTCCGACTTTGAAGAACGTTTTAAACTTGGAATGGTCGGACACATCACCAATGGAAACAGTGAATTTGATGGACTTCAAAGTTTTCCAAGTAAAAGATTTAAAAAGCCCGAGAATATTACTCTTTTGGAACACACAAGATTACGAAATATTGGTAAAACTAAAATTTTTAATAATGTAATATTGTTCTAAAGTATCGGAAATTGTCAGGACTTGTTGAACAAGATTCAATAATTTTTCGTCTTTTGTAAAAAAAAATGTTATTTTATGAAAAATGTATCTAAAATTAATATTGAAATTGTTGATAAATAAATTGATATTGTTTAATTAAAAAATATTTTAATTTTTCTAGCAATATCAAGAAGAAAATTGGAAATGCCTGTTGACAAAGTTATTATGGCAGTAAACGCTCTTGATTTAAAAGTACTTTCGTTAGAAAATGTCGAATTACTTCAACGAATGGTTCCAACTGATCAAGAAGTAAGCAAATCTATATGGAGTTTACAGTTGAAAATTTTTATAATTAAAAATACTTGAATATACGTATATATATTTTTTTGCAGATTAAAGTTTACCGAGAATATATAATAAATAAAAAAAATGTAAATCTTCTGACGGAGGAAGATAAATTCTTGATGCAATTAGGCAAAGTTGAAAGGATATCATCGAAATTATCGATAATGAATTATATCGGTAACTTTTTTGACAATTTGCATCTCATTACGCCACAAATTCATGCTGTGATATCTGCCTCAAGTTCAGTGAAAAGCTCGAAGAAATTGAGAGCAGTTTTAGAAATAATTCTTGCCTTTGGAAATTATTTGAATAGTAGTAAACGTGGTCCTGCTTATGGATTTAAGTTGCAAAGTTTGGATACTTTATTGGATACCAAATCAACAGATAAAAGAATGTGCCTTTTGCACTACATCGTAGCAACAATACGATTAAAATTCCCTGAACTCATCAATTTCGAATCGGAATTGATGTACATTGACAAAGCTGCAACGGGTAGTGTATTATAATTTGAAAATTTTAATATAAATTCAAGTTGTTTTTGTTTTTTTCAATAGAATTTTTTCCAAAATCATTAAAGTATAAAACTAATTATTATTTTTACTTGAAATTACTAATGTAATGATGAGGAAATATTTATAAATTCACAGTTTCCCTCGAGAACATCACAACAGACGTTCATGAGTTGGAGAAAGGTATGGATCTTGTTCGTAAGGAATTTGAGCTTCGTGGGAAAGAAAAACACAATACAGTGTTGCGTGATTTTTTGAATAATTCTGAAGAAAAATTACGAAGAATGAAAGCTGATTCTCGAACGGCAGGAGATGCTTTTAGAGAATGCATTGAATTTTTTGGTGAAAGTCCAAGACAAGCGGATGCTAACACTTTCTTCTCGCTTCTTGTCAGATTCGCAAGAGCTTTTAAGGTGCTGGCCATAATCTCTTAAAGTTTTCTTTTTTTTTATTGTTATATTTTAACTACTTTAAGTCCAGTCATATAATGCTAATTTTGTAATAAATTTGTTCTACAGACTGCAGATCAAGAAAATGAACAACGTCGAAGATTGGAATTAGCTGCTGCCGAAGCACTAAACACATCAGAAGAAGTTATTAAGAGAAATAAACTAAACCAAAAGAAGCAACAGGTATTGACAATTACATTTTTTTCTACTTATTATATGATAACAATTTTTGTGTGTCAATGCATCTTGCATGCTTAACGTTGTAATAGTTTCTCGTCAAATTATGGGTCTGAATAAAATAATTTAAATATTAAAAATTTATCTACGTAAAATATTACTTATTGGGAAATGTTAGAACTGTTCTCAAAGTTTTAAACTATTTAACACTTTTAATTTAATCTAAAACGTATTTCAATTATATTGAATTTCCGTCATTCATTTAGATTTTTGATAGGTAGATTTCAATATTAAGGTTTATGATCTTTTTTTTATTTGTTATCAAAATAATAGCGAAGGTTTAAAAACGCTACTTTGCTTTGAGTCTTACTGTCCTACTTAGAAAAATTATTGAATTTTCATGAAATAAACATAAAAAGTAGTGCAATCTAGAAATCGAAGCTAGTTTATAGGTATTTTACATAATCGAACAGAAAAAACTTTTTCCACTTATTCGTTTTGTCACGTCTGCGTACTAGTATAGTTTTCTTTCAACCCATTATTGTTAATCGGGATATTTCCCTACCGCAATAAAAGTAAGAAATTTCTCATTTATCGTGCATGTTCATAATGTAGAAAAATTGTTTGAAATCCAATTGGAATCCTTGAATAAAATAAAATTTCGATGGGTTGAAATTTCACCTGAGTCTACCTCTAACCGAAATATTATTTAACTTAACATTCATTAACCATCTGCTTTTGATTTGCATGTTGAAAAATAGCATGTGTTTTTAAAAAAGAAGGTGTGTCATTTATCATTGTCGTTTATTGTTTGTCTTTAGTTCTATGATGTTTTGAAAAAAAAATTAATGTTTCATTTACACACTTCTTATTTGTTACATATTTGATTTGGATTTAAAAGCCACCGAAATTTTGCTGTAACTCGAACAAGACTCTGTTACATCGGCACCTTAATGAACTGGAGCTCAGAACGTAAAAAATTAGAAACAGTTCACATGTAAGTCTGTCCTCACTTCCTGCTATCAAAAAAAATCTTTTTGCTCCATTCGTCTGCATAAAAATTAAATTAGAGTGAAAGATACGCAAAATTATTCACAAAATTTCTATTATTAGAATATCCATGTGAAATTTTAAGGATTCTAATATAAAAGTGCCCTCACAAGATATATTTTGTGCAATTTTGAAAATGCCTTGTGCTACACCCAGATAACATGTTATATTGCGTCTAAATTTATGTTTCTTTGTGTCAATATCATTACATATTTAAAAATTGTTATTTAAATTAATTTTTATTTTACAGATTTTTTATTTATTTAATATAATTTGAATTTAAGAGAATTATTAATTGCTCGAATTTTCGTTAGACAGAATAGTCATTTAAAAGAATTTTTATTTCAGAGAAAGAATATTAAAAAAAATTATTTTCTAGTTGATTTTTCATTTGTTCGAATTTGCATTTGACAGAATTCTTAAAATGTAGAATTTTTATTTTATAGAACTATCATTTGTCCGGAAAATATCTGTCAGAAAAATGTAGGCGCAAATTCAGGCAACAAAATTGTAAGTTCTATAAAATGAAAATTCGGCGTTTTAAGAATTCTGTCAAAACGACGCCTCCCGTTCATATAATGCTTATTGAAACTGCAATGCAATATAAGTCTTATTCAAATTTTTGTTCCATATAAGTCTTATTGAAAGTTCAGTGCTATATAATTCTTATTCAAGTTTCCGTGCAATACAATAATTGTATTGAATAAGAATTATATAGCACTGAACTTTCAATAAGACTTATATGGCACAAAAATTTGAATAAGACTTATATTGCACGAAAAATTGAATAAGACTTATATTGCATTGCAGTTTCAATAAGCATTATATGAACGGGAGGCGTCGAAATAAAAATTCGACTATAATAGTATATTTTTTAATATTTTGCTTCCTCGTGGAGGAAGCTTTGTAGTCCTTTCGTTTGTAATATTTTTAAACATGGTGAAAACAAATTTTCCTCTATATAGAGAAACATGTTATATGAGACCCTGAGCAATTATCCGGATGTATGTGTGTGTGTGTGTGTGAATCGTTTTTGTGAACACGATATCTTTAACAGGTTTTAATGGATTTGGATAAAATTTGGTAGGCTTATTTATCACATTAATCTCTCAAAAATGAGGAGAGGATTTTTAAAAATACCCCAAAAAAAAAATTATTTCGTCTTTTTTCCAAAAAATTTTTTTTAATTGGACACATTTAAGGTAATATATAATATAATCGTCTTCCTTACATCAAGACGAATCGATTGGTATATATAAAGTATAGATTTGATTGAAATTTAAAGAATTAATGAAAGTTAAAAAGTCAAAAATTCACATTTTAGCTAAAAAATGTTGTGTTTATTTAAATTCATGTTTATATATGAAATAATTTTATTCCCTGCATTGAAACGAATTGGTTGGTATATATAAAGTATAGATTTTATTAAAATTTTAAAAATTAATAATAATTGAAAAAACAAAAATTCATGTTTTAGCTAAAAAATTTTGTGTTTTTTTAAAATTCAAGTTAATAAATAAAATAATTGAATTAGAGAAATTCATAGCTTCCTCCACGAGGAAGCAAATTGTTTGCTTCTCACAATAAGGAAGCAAAATGTTTATGAAATAAACATAAAGGACCCCCTCCTTGTTTTCATTAAAATGAAAAATCTTTTAAATGACTATTTTATATTTTATTAAATTTAAACAGTCTGTAATTCGAGATAATGAAATTCTGCAAATTGAAAATTCTAACATTTTAGTACGATCTATATACTTGGATTTTAGGACCTTCTGTTATAAATAAATAGTAATTCAAAAATTTCTACGTTCAGAATAAAGTAATTGACACAAAGTAACGTATAAAGACTGTTGCAATATTAGCAAAATATCAGCAATGTTAATGAAATATTCCGTGCTATAATGTAAATTTGTTGAAATTTGAGTTGTCAGCAGAATTTTGTTCAGAAAATTTCATCTTTTGCCATCGTGTTTAAATTACTTTTTTTTATATAAACATCGTGACTCAAAGACTTGTATTAAATATTTTATAGGTATTAAAAACTTGATTGCTAAATTATTGAATTAAAAAAAAATTATCACACACGTTTGAAGGTATGAATTTTTTTTATAAATGTTACATTCATTTATACGATAACGAGCGCGCGCGTGTTTTTTTTATTGGCAAACATTATTATGCGCCAAGAGTCATATAACGTCGTGTATTTTAAATGTAAAATGGCGGATTCAATATGGTGGACATATTTTTCTAAATTCGACGAATTTGCTTGAAACACGTTACTCGGGAGTTTCAAGGTCGCTGATTACGAATCTGATATTAGTAAATTGTATTGTTTTTTAATTTTCCTATACGCCATATTGGATCCACCATTTTGAATTTTGAAAAACTAACATCAGATTTGTATTCAGCGACCCCAAAAACCCCTGAGTAACAAGTTTCAAATAAAACTGACTTCATATTCGTAAGTAGTAACCCCAAAAACAACCCCAGTGACGAGTTTCAAGTGAATTTCAAAATAGGTCACTTTTGAGAAGACGTATTGGATTTGGGTTTTCGAATTTTTAATTTTTGACCTCAAATTCGGATTTAGCGTTCAAAATACCTTAAATAACGTCAGTGTGATGTACATATATCTGTTATTTTATGTTTTTTTAATTTTTTTGTAAGCACGTGTATATAGGCGTATCTCATAGTGAGAGCCCACCTTATAGAAAGTACACCTCACATTCAAGAGGTTAATAAATTTATATTTTATTAATTAATTATAACTAAGCAATATGAGAAATTAAAAATCAAATTATTAATAGATCGTGATTGTACGTGCATGTTCTGTTTTAATAGTGTTTAACTGTAAAATGTTAAGAATTAGGTATTTTCTTCAAAAATACGAAATTAAATTTCTTATGTTGAGGTCAAAAATCTTTAGTGTTAAAGACAAACTTAACCCACAATATGTCTATTTACTTAGTTTGTTTTAAAATTTTTACTGACTCAAAATTTCATACTGTGTACATCATTCTCACATTATTATTATTTATGGAAATTTGTTAATAATTCCCTTATTATTGTCGTCCTCTTAATTATTTATTATTATTAGACTCATATTTTATAATTTGACATGTTTTGATACTAAAGCTTATAACAATTCATGTAGTTGAAAATAATATACATCTCACCACGCATGCGCAGATTGAAACCTACGATCTGGCACATTAAACTTGTATTTGACATTTCACATTTTCCTCTAATTGTCAGTAAAATTAATGAGCCCGCCATAATGTCGTTTCTATGTTTTGACAACTTAAAAATTCTGTTGCATTAAAATTCTCAAAATTATGTATTCATGCATGCTACACATTGCACATTGAAATGTTGTCACTTTCAATGCGGAAAGGCGAATTTTTTAATACTTCTTTCTTTACAGGGAATTTTCCATTTTTATTGTTTTTAAATTTTAATAAAAATGTTCTAAATAGAAAAACTACTTTTTATTAATTTTTTTCAAATTGTTATAATACCTTATCTTAACTTTTTGAAAAACTAAATTTATTTGACAAAATCTTCTATTCTTTAGATTTTTGCACCTATTTTTATTACTAATTCTTATTAACAATAGTTATTTTATAAAATTTGATATACTTAATTTTTTAATCATCCTTTTTTTAGTTTTATTTATTTTGAGTATCCATTTGACTCTTCCGATCTTCTATTTAAAATTTTTTTATGAAATAAAGATTTTCTGAAGTACAATTTAAAGGAAATTTATGCTTTTTGTTCACTACGATTCTATATTTATACGTAGACGTACAATTTTTGGCTAATTTAACATTTTTTTTACTTTTGAAGCAAATATTCGTACGTTCAGACTTAATTTGTATTGAAAAAGTTGTTTATGGTCACATTCACCTTTTTAACATTTTGGTTGTGATAAAATTTAATCTGTTGGAAAAAACTTTAATTGAAAAGTGGTTTTTTACCTTTTTTGAAAAAAATATTTATTTCATTTGAAACATTTAGTTGAAATAATGATTAAATTTGTATTACTTTTTTTGTAACTTTAGGATGCTGTTATAAATGAACTGAAAAGCAAGACCAAAATGGTACAGGAGAAGAAGCTTTTGCAACAAGATGAAGTATATAATGGAGCTCTGGAGGACATTCTTCTGGGTTTAAGATCTGAACCTTATCGTCGTGCCGACGCCGTTAGACGAAGTCAACGTCGACGAATCGATAATCATCGATTGTCTCGCACTGCCGAAGAGCTAGAATTATAATACGAAAATTCGTTTCATTGGAAGCGAAATTACTTTTTATATTTCTTGATATAAAATCTAGTTTCTAATCTATATCTGTCTTAAGAATCAATTTTCAAAGATTTTTGATAAAATAGCTTAGCTTTTTTGATATATATACATATTTTTGAACTCAATGTACAAAGGACAATTTATTGGTGCTAACAGTAATTAGTCCAGAATTCATCAACTCTACAAAAATTAGAGAGAAAATTACGCAGATTTAAATTATTGTGAAATTAGTTAAGCACAAAAATTAAGCAATAATAATTTTCTAATATCGTTTTAAAGAAAATATAAACGGTTATTTTATTTTTAGATGAAAATTTGACAATTAATTAAAATAATGTAACAAAAGCATTTCATCTAAAAAAAGTTAGTGTAGGTTTTTATAAGTTTTACTAAATTGAAAAAGATAATTATACAAAACTTAAAAAAAAATTCACAAATATTTTGATAAGAAGTTTTGTAGCAAACGATTTAATCGCTAAATGAACACTAAAATATAATCTCATCGTATATATTTGATATTATTAATTTATAGTTTTATGAATATAAAAGATTATTCACTTTTATTTCTTGTTGGCCGTTATATAATGATTGTTTAGAGAAATTTATCGATTTCAAAGAAAATTTTTGCACTATTTTGAAATTATATAACTTGATTGTAATATAGTTTATAAAATATGACGTTTATCAAGTTCTGTTTTTCTTAGAGAAGACATTCCACAATATTATCAGTTTTGAAATATTGAAAGGATAAAAAAGACAATTTATTTTGTATACTTGTTTCAAGTATAGGCTTAAAAAGTGACGATTTGTGATTAAAGCTGCCTCAGATGCACTCTCAGTATCTTTACGAAAGTAAAATTACCGTACATGAAATGCTTTATAATTTAATGGAAAATACCTTTACTGATCATCTAAACAACTTTTTTGAACTCGAAAAATATTTTTTCAAGCAAACAGCTGATATAAATATTAACTTTTATTAATTTTTAAAATCACTTTTCATTAATTTACTTGAAAATAGATAAAGAAATTTAAGTACGTTTTTACTTTTGTATGGCATTTACATAACATATGATAGAAGATTGATTGTAAATACTGTTGTATAGATATATTATCGTAACACCAAAACCGATCGAAAAAATGTAATTATTTTCGCTAATAATAGTTAATTTACAAATGTGATAAAATAAATATTGATACATAGTTTGTTTATGTTACTCATGACATAAGTTACTCTTAGTCATAGAAAGTGTTTCAGTTTATTAAAATTGTTTTGAAAAACAAGCAAACAAAAATATTTAAATTTATTGATGCAATTTTTAGTTAAGTACATTTATGTGTATTAGTTGGATAAATTTTTAAAACCTCAAAGCAATACAAAATTAAATGAGACACTTTTGTTTTGATACAAACGCAGTTATTTTTCTGCAAATATGTAAATAATGTGTATTTTCGATATGTTATTTATAAAACATCTTAAGCATGTCTTTTATTTTGTATGTAAAGAAACTTCATTTATCAAAAGATAATATCTATTATGTAAGATTTAATAAATTTTGTAATACACAAATATGATTGTTTTGTAAGCATTTTCTAGAATAATAAAAATACTATTGAAAATTTGTACTTTGCAAAATAATCTAATTTTTCTGAACAAGTTATTTTGTTTAACTTTTAAAAAATTTTAAATATATATAGTCCAATATTTATCCAGGGTCGGCAAGATATGTTGGTCATGTGGGTTGGTCATGATACATTCGAAAATAGTTGAGTGGGTCATAAACCACTCGAAATTTCTGAGTATACATGTCCTTTTTTTATTTCACTGTGCAACAGAATTTCATTTTTTTTATTATTTCTGGGATCGCATATGGTGATTCTTATAGGTTTTTTGACGCTGCAGAGAAATTCAAAATTCAGAATTCTTGTTGAAATTTATAAGTGCTTTTGACTTTAAATTTATTTGCATTTGTGTTTTGCGGTAAAGATGGAGCCACTATGCAGGCTCTTTGATCACGTGATGGTTCGAGGCTATCCTTGTACACATTTTTATTCTCTACTTGTTCATATCCACGTTTTTATCGAAATCATCTTTTTACTTTACTTTCATTTTATATCATATCAGTCACACATAATTTAGTTATTTTGTAATTCATTTCAAGTGTAAAAAATCGTTCTCATTTGTTTAATTGCAACCAAATTGTTTTCCCGTTTTATTTCAACAATTCTAATTACGAATAAAAGAATTAATGCTATTATTTTAACAAGATGAGCATCAATTGTGTTAAACTTTTTTGATAGATAATAGTGCAAATATTTCATCACAAATTCAAAAAACAAATGAAAATGTTCAAGGCTATAACCAGTAAAAAAAACTAATTCAGATGAATATTGAAATGAATTAACTTTTTTGGCAAGATCCAATTAGTATTTGTCGCTAAGTAAGATTCAGTGAAGCCTCGTTATTGGGATCTCTATTCTCTTCCACTGTGATACTCCATCTGGTGAGATATTTTGAATATTGACAGGAGGTCGCGTCCACTAATCAGAATCGCTAATACTTATTCTTCTTCTTTCTTATATGACTTCTTGATTAAACAAAGTGTCAGAACAACCAATTGAAAGAAGAGTTAGAGCTCGCCAACAGCTGATCATGTAGTCCGGAAAGTACTGTTGTCCAGTTTGGAAATCAGCCGTAAGCAGAGAGTGTGGATATGAGCTTAACGGAGTCTAGAGATCCTCTCTCGTTTGGACTGCACTGTAAATACAACGGTATAGGGATGGTAAAGAGGAAAGTTTTGTGCATGTTTGGTGTTTTTTGGCGTTAAAAACATCTCATTTACTTTTAAGATCATTCAATGATTCATACACTGCATTTTTATGCTCATATTTTCTGTTTCTTATTATAAATTGCAGGAAAAAAATAATGTGAGATATTTAATAAAGTAGAATGAATGAAAGTGATCAATCATCAATGTCTTTTACTTGTTAAGATATTTATACAAATTGGCCTTTTGTGCACAAGAACGAACCTAAGATATTTACAGTTTCAGAATCAGGGTCAGATACTAGATTGGATGTATAAGTTTAAAAATCTTGTATACTACTTGAGGGTTAAATTTAAAGTTGAAACAGTTCTTTATTCTTTGTACTGCTGACATAGAGTCTGTTAAAATTAGGATTCTTTTTAAATGTTTTTGTTTTGCGTATAATAGAGCTCTAAATATCGCAAAAAGTTCAGCAGTAAGGATAGAGGTACCCAACTGAAGGGGGGCCCCAAATGAGGAGTTATTTGTGTGATCTTAAAATGCTGTAGATGCTTTAGAAGTTTTTGTGTTATATGATGCATCGGTATATATGTATGTATACTCCTTATAATTCTTTGCCAGAATTTCATTTAAAGTTTTATTAGGATCACTTGATGCTCTCACTCGATGGCCATCTTCAAGATTACATTGATATGGATATAATAAGACTGACCAGGGCCAATCAAAATATGAGGGTCTGTGGCTCTGATAGCCCAAGGTGGATAAAGGAACAAGGTCATCATATGTTTTAATCAAGGAAAGTTTATCCGTCTTAAATGACATTTTAACCGATTTAGCCTTTTCATTGAGTAATTGCAGCTTGGGAAGGAGAGGGTTATCCCTCCATCGGAAGTTACGAAGCATAAAGTTGTTAGCGATCTGTTTACACAGCAGAGTAATCGGAATTTCATTAGCTTCGGCCAGAAGCACCGTTACGGGTCTTGTTCTCATACAACCTAGAGCTGTACGTATTGCCTTATGCTGGACATAGGACAGAATTTTAAAGGTGGTTTTAGGAACGTCCACAAACAGGGGTGCGCCCCACAGCAAGATAGCTCTAATCAGGTGGGTATAGACCGTAAGGGTCATTGAGGAGTTTGTTCCTCAGGTGACTCGAGATATCACTTGTAGAAGACTTAAGGCTGTCACAGCTTTATCCGCATTGGCCAAAATATGAGGCTTCCATGTCAGTTTTTTATCAAGAATTATGCCCAGGTATTTCAGAGTAAAAGTCTGAGATACTGGTTGATCGTTTATTCTGATATTGGGATGGGGATGCCTTTTTTGGCTCTAGAAAAGATCATAAATGATGTTTTACCGGGAGAAGCTTCAAATCCTATGCTGTTTAGCCATTCTATCAAGGTTGACAACGCTGCATTGACCCTCCTGTTCACACCTTCAATATTTCTAAATCTGGTATAGATCAGTAGGTCGTCGGCGAACATCGTATATTTAAAACTTAAGGGGATTATATTTTGTATGCCTCTAAGATATATGTTAAATAGGATTGCTGACAAAACTCCTCCCTGTGGAACTCCGACACCACATTGTCTCGCACCTGTTCCATCCGACGAAAATGTGAGAAAACGAAGGGAAGTGATAAATGTAAAAAAATTCAGAATCAGCGGATGGAAACCAAGTTGGCGAAGATTTCGATGTAAGATGTCTGGTTGAACCGCATTAAAGGCTCCCTTTATATCTATTGAGACCGCCAATGTTCTCATGCCCTGGGCAAGGCCCTGACCCACGTCGGTAACAAATGCAGCCACACAATCCGTCGATGACCTTTCTCTTCTAAAACCAAATTGATTTGCAGGAACTATTCTGTTATGTTCAATAAAGTGCTCCATTCTCCTATTTATCAATTTTTCAAAGAGTTTTGCTATAACTGAGGTCAAGGCAATGGGGCGAAAGCCCTTGCCTCCTGGTTTGGGAATTAGAATAACATATGTTTCTCTCCATGACGCAGGATAGGAAGAGAGGGCAAACATTCTATTGAACAGGGTTCTTATAAATTCTTGGCTAGTCGCAGAAAGATTTCGTATCATCTTTATGGATAGGCCGTCCAGTCCAGGAGCAGTGTCTGATTTATTGGACGCCAAAGCAGCCTCAAATTTGCCAGGGGAGAAAGGGTCAATGTCAGTCCATCTCAACGGGAAGGGAGTTTCTATCATCGGAATATTTCGGGGAATAAAATCCTCCCTAACGAGTTCATTCTGCATTTTGATTTTCGCCGGTGTAAAAAGGTCAGTAGATGTGTTGGTGACTAACGACTTTGATTTATTAGAAAGGGCTCTCACTGTTCTCCACATTTTAGAAAGGCCAGTGGCCGGTTCGAGTGATTCGCAAAATGTTTTAAAACCTTCCAATCTTTGAATCCTCAATTTTTTCTTAATTTCATACTCACGTTTTTTAAATTCAATTCTATTTGTGCGAGTTCGGTTGTGTTGATACCAATAATAATTGGTTCGCCGCTCGCGAAGGAGAGATTGGCACTCCGCATTCCACCATAGGGGTTGTGAACGAGACTTTCTCTTTGTGGGTCCGGCTCTAAATGCACCAGTTTGAAGAAGTCTGGATTTTAAAGAAGAAAAGAAACGATCATAAACAACAGCTGGAGTATTTGTCTCAGTGAGATCATGAAGAAGTAGTAAGGTATCCTGCTCAACCAATTTTGAAAACTCTGTCCAGTTTACATTATTAGTTATAAATTTATTACGACCACTTGTGGACAATTCAGGATCTATATTGACTTTAAGGAGAACAGGAAAATGGTCTGAGGAATAGACATCATCCAAAACTTCAAAATCTCCAAACTGAGAGATGTATGGAGAACAGAATACTAAGTCAATATTACTAGACAAATTACCCCTATCAGGTTTTCTTGTCGGAATATCACTATTTATTGAGGAAAGATTGTGATTAAGCACTGCTGATAATAAAGCGCGTCCTCTATTGTTGGAAGATAAACATCCCCAACTTGTGTGGTGAGAATTGAAGTCGCCAGTGAATATCGTTGCAGAGGCAGGGGGAAGTCGGTCTATAATATAATTCCAGAAATCCTCGTGGATATGTCTCCCTGGGGGGCATACACGCGTAAAAGGTTCACTTT